TTGGGTATGAGCTCAGATCTGAAGTTGTAACTTCAGATCTAAACTCTCTTTGGTTTGTAAGTCCATAAAGCTATCAACTTTGGCAAGTATGAACCCTTCCTTAAGTGTAAAACTCCATTGCAAGCTTGGTTTTGTCATTATGACACTTTAGAGCCTTGCATGCACGTAAAGTTTGCAACTTTACGTGATAAACATGCCTTGGGAAGTTGGATCTGCAATATGGAACCTTGCCACAGCTTAAAAAACATCTGAATGGATGAAGGACTGAAGGGACTCAGCGAGTTGCATGGTCAACTCGGCGAGTCCGATAAAGATTGTCGTGGGCTCGACGAGTCAGTAGAGTGACTCGGCGAGTCAGCTAGGGTTTTCCCAACCTTTGGACACGCATGAAATCGGCAAGTTGAAAGGAAACTCGACGAGTTGACCAAGGAGTTTACGACCGCAAACATTAGGAAATCGACGAGTCACTCAAGTGACTCGGCGAGTTGACGAGTTATGCAAGGAACTCGGCGAGTGGTTGGTTGTACTCGACGAGTCGGGTCAACATGGACTGTTGACCTTGACCGTTGACTTTGACTTTGACCAAGGGCTAAGTATTTGACTTCTGGGAGCATTTTTGGGAAATTAGAGATTTATGGATATGGTTCTATGGTGAAAATAGGTGGTGGAGTTTGTGAGGGTGATTCGAGAGTTGAGCTTATCACTTCAGCACGTCAGTTGCGAGGTGAGTTCTCCTCACTATATAAACAGGGTCTAAGGCACCAATGCCGGCCCTTATCGGATTCGTATCCGAGTTTATTGCATGATATGGTTATTGATTTACATCCTGGTAATTAGGATGGTGATATGCTTAGTGACCTGGTAGGTCTGTATCCTGGTTTATGGAATTATGCTATGTTAGTGATATGTTAGATCGGTATCCTGATTATAGGATGGTTGATATGTTATTGATCGGTTAGATCTGTATCCTGGTTATAGGATGTTGTTATGATTATTGATCTGTTAGATCGGTATCCTGCTTATAGGATGGTTGACATGTTATTGATCGGTTAGATATGTATCATGGTTATAGGATGTTGTTATGATTATTGATCTGTTAGATCGGTTGACTATTATATATGCTAGCGTATGATATTTATGTGCACATGTTGGTTTGATTTGGGGATGGGTTGAGGCAGTCCTGCTTTGTGCTGAAGGCCAACATACCTAGGGCGGTCCGGTAACCTGAAGGCCCTGCAAAGGGATTCAGTCAGGCCGAAGGCCCGACGAGCGGTCCGGATAGGCTGTAGGCCCTGCGAGGCGGTCCAGTCATACCGAAGGCTCGGGAACGGTCCAGATAGGCTGTAGGCCCTGCGAGGCGGTCCAGTCAGGCTGAAGGCTCATTATGCATGCTGTTGTTATGTATTTGTTGATATGATATGATTATGGTTATATGAGGTTGGTATTTTGGGGGTAACTCACTAAGCTTTCGGGCTTACAGTTTCAGTTTATTGTTTCAGGTTCAGCGGATGGCGGCGGGAAGGAGAAGGCGTGACCGTACACTTCCTCGATTGATGATTATGATTTCTGGGAACTCTGATGTATAAACTATTTTGAAAACAAATTGTAATAATTGAATGGTTTCAAATGATTTAAAAAGTTTTAAATTGACTCGAATTTTATGGGTGTTACAGAACCAAAAGCATAACCAACAAACTATGAAGAGATCTAAACATACACAAATCAAGATGCAAACTTGATACCTTAGAAAGCTTTCCCACAAGATGATGATTCTGGATCCAAAGCCTTTCCACCAATCATGACAACTTCAAGATTCCCCTCTTCCTTCACAAAGACCAAAAATGAGCACCAAGACTTCTTAATAGCTCAAGAACACCACTAAGAGGCTAAGGGGTCGATTTAGGGTTTTTAGGGTATGGAGGCTGGCTAGGAAATGAACAAAAGAGGCTAACATAAAGCTTATATAGGAAAAAATTAGGGTTTTACACTTCACCCTCGTTCGCCCCGCGTACTACTCATACGCCCAACATACGAGGTCTCGCTCCCCCGATCCAATCCTCGCCGTACGCTAAGCGTACTCCACACTACGCCTCGTGTATCAGCCTTCACAACAGTACGCCCCACATACTTCCTAGGTACGCCCCTGTACTAGGGTTTTCTCTTAAACCCTTAAGCACTCCGAAGGCCATAACTTCTTCGTTATAAATCCGATTTCGACGATCCTTATATCCATGAAAAGGTAACAAGAAGCTTTACACTTTAATCAACTCATACTTGCCATAAAATTTCCCAAACGAAAATCCAATCTCCATGAAAGCCCGCTGCCATTTTACCAAAATACCTATTGGCTCCAAAACCAAATCCGAACGCCCGAAACATCTACATTTTACATCACCCACACCCAACTGGATAACGATTCAGAACATGGCGTTACACTTTTGACAATTAAATTTTCAAAAACCATTTAGTTTTATCAAATTTTGAATATATATTTATATTTTATACTTTTATAATCTTAAGGGTTTTTTTGCAAAATATTTGTAAACTTAAAGGTTTTTCGTAAAAAATAATTTATGGTAACCTGAAACCTGCTATTACAGATAAAAATGGCAAAACCGAAAAAAAAATGACAAGTTTGCGGCATAAACGAACCAAAAATCTGTCGAAAAGTAAAAAGAACATTTTCTGCCAAAGCTAAGGCTTTCTTTTATCCCTTCTTTCTCATTTTCTAGTTTCTATATAGGTATGGGTAAAATAGTAATTTTTGGTACCCAGCTCCGTTCATCTCATCAACCTCCAAAAGAGTCGTATCTTTTAAACGTTATCCTCATCGCTTTATGGCGTCTTCGCTCCGCCTTCATCTGCCATTCTGCTCTCCCTGCAACCGTTCCGCCGCCTTTAACCCCATCGGAAATCCTAGATGCTATACTACAGTTCGATGCGGTCCGAGAGACAACCGTGGTCCGCTATACAAAGGCCGAACGCTGAGCATAGAGGCAATACAAGCCGTTCAATCACTCAAACGATCACACCGTTCAGATCCCACCAATAATGATACCGTTTCCAAAACACTATCTCGCCTCGTCAAATCCGACCTCGTCGCCGCCTTCAACGAGCTCCTCCGTCAAGATCAGTTCGACCTAGCTCTCAAAGTCTTCTCCGCCATCAGATCTGAGGACTGGTACAAAACCGACCTATCTCTGTACGCGAAGCTGGTGGCGTCGATGGCGACTAAAAGGATGACGGATGATATTGACAATCTGATCCTCGACATAGAAGTGGATGACGTGGTTTCATCTGATTCGAAGGGACTCATAACGCTTATCAAGGCGTTGCTTGCTGCTGACAGGGCTGAATCGACGGTCAGGATATATGAGATGATGAAATCCGGCGGGTGGAATTGTAATTCTCCATCGAATGATTATGTAGGTAAGGTTTTGAGTAGGGGATTGAGGAGATTAGGGAAGAAGAAGGTAGCTGATGAGATAGATTCGGAAATTGGGAGGGTGTCGGGTGGTATTTCGGAAAAGATGGTGGTTTAAACTGTAAAATTGGTATGGAGAATATAAGCTTCACATTTTAGTCAGCCAAATTACAGTATCAGGTCTAGAAATGCACACAATTTTGAATTTTCATTTTTTTTTTATGTTATTATGTTTCATGACAAAGAAACTGTCTCTATAGTCTATATACATCCTTTTTTTTTTCTTCATATTTAGGCATTACTTGATTTTTCTCATTAAACACAATTATAACTGCATCTTTAAAATAACCATTACCGGTAATATTCGAATTCCTTGAAACTTGGTCTTTGTGGGTCAGAAGAAAGCTTTTGCAACCGAGCCACATTTGGAATACATATTTATCAGGCTGTTTCCAATTGGCAACACTGGAATTAGTGATTCCATTCCATTCCGGATAACATAACAATAAACATCCATCCTACCTTCATCCAATAAAAAGAGAATTAACCAAGAGTACTTTGAAGAAATACATAAGAATCGGATGTTAAACCAACCATAAGTGATAAGTCCATGTATTTACACCATAAGTGATAAGTCCATATAAACTCAAAGATCTTTCTAGCTAATCGTGATTTGACCAGATTTAGCAAATTCATTTACCAACATCCAAGTCATGTAAAAATCCAAACTTTTGTATTGCACATATTTAATCCATTGATGGGAGACGGAGGCATGAACACTGAACAGCACCGTTGGAGGAGTGACTGGCGTGAACTGCTCTCGTGAGGGGGATGGGGTGAAAAAGATCTCGTGGAGGGGGGCGCTTGAAAGAACAAGGTTACAACTTAGAAGAAGTTCTCAAAAAACTAAAGCTAATTTTTTTTTTTTTTTTTTAAAAAGGTCGATCAAACCTTTTTATATCTATAGTTTTCTAAAAAGACAAATGTGTATTTTTTTTTTCACACTCGCAAACATAAATAGTGAAAAAATATATTTTCAAAAAGACAAATACCACCCAATTAATCTCAAGTTGAAGTTTCTTAACCGTTCATTTCTAGACCCGCCTAGACACTCAACAATGGAATGATTTGAAAGCACTTGCATGCCTTTTCTAATTTGAGGTTTTCAAAAAAACAATAAAAAAAGAAAAAAAAAAATCAAAGTTATCTCCGGTTCTCCACTGCTCGGTTCCACCGTGAAACTGTAACTGGAAACCATCTCCATTCTCCGCCAGTGGTGTCTCACAAACCAAATCACACACGGCGTTTGGATCTAAACATCGCCCGGCATCCCGATTCCAGTTCCTCAGTGTTGCTGGCATCGGTGTGCCGTTCCTGCTATAATCGTAGAAAACTATACACTTGAAAATTTTATATGATGCGAGAAACCCTGGCGACAGCATCATCTTCATCATCGCCATCATCGACGGCGACAAATGTTATCCCTCCAGCTGAAGCTGCTTGGGTTAATACATATGAAAGATTATCACCGCGCTGGAAATCATTCGTCCTTCCTTCTCAGGTAAATCATTCGCCCTCCTTCTCAGGTATTGACTGTAGGTTTTGTTTAGTTTGCTTTCTATTAATTCAGATTTTGTCATGTTAATCCAAACGAAATCAATGTTCAGGTTATGAATCTAATGTCGAACTAAATAATTAAACTCAGAATGATCGTTTATTAAGCTGTTAGAAGCAAAATCAGCGTTCAGGATTAGGAATCTCATATGATTAATCTCAGAGTGAATTAGTTGAGTTATTGGAAACAAATTTAATGCGCAAGGACCTCATATAAATTCATCAACATCTTTCTAGGAGTAAACAAGTGGTTTTTCATATCCATGAAGGTACCTTATCTCCTCTCTCTTTTAACACATAGCTAATTGATTCGTTGGTGAATTTTCTGCAGTCTGCAATTCCAATTGTGATATCAAGAGTTAACCAGGTGGATGCAGCGAGACTTGATGTTGAGATGTCAGCCATGTTGAAAGAGCAATTGGTCAAGGTTTTCTCTGTAATGAAGGTATATTATGAAATAATCTAGGTTTTTCTTTTTGTTTCCATCTTTAATTTCTTACCAAATCTCATCCTTTTGGGATTAGCCAGGATTGCTATTTCAGTACGAAGCTGAGCTTGATGCTTTCCTTGAGTTTCTCATTTGGAGGTTCTCCATTTGGGTTGATAAACCTACTCCAGGAAATGCTCTCATGAATCTGCGATATAGAGATGAGCATGCCATGACTACAAGAGGGGAAAGTAAGAAGTTTGAAATATATGATTATATCCATTCTACCATGTTCTCCTTGTGAGTTTGTGACCAATACCATGTCGCCTTACATCTCAATTAATTCAAATCTATTCTCCAGTTAGAACAGGCTTGGAGGGACCTGGACTCACTATTGCTCAGAAGATATGGTATTGTGTTGCTACAGTTGGTGGACAATATATTTGGACTCGTCTACAGTCTTTTTTTGCTTTTCGTCGAGGGGTTGATTCTAATCAGGTATATGCTATTCCATGTTTAGATAGTTGAACCCTCATCTTTCTGTAATTGCAATCCTGCCCTCCCCTCAGTATGATAATAAATGAAGATGAATAAATTAAAATTTTGTTTTCTTTTTTGGTCCCAATTTCTTTTTCTCTCACCCCTTCCATTCCATGGGCAGAGGTCAGCGGGTCATCGAGCTTGGTTTATAATCCAACGTACTGAAGGGTTTTATAAAGCTGCATCTTTCACCAATTTGCTTATTTTTCTTTACTCTGGGAGGTATGCAATGAGCTTTAAGCACCTCTTCATTTTGATGGTTTTGCTAATTGGAATATGTTAATGGCTTAGTGCTGCTGGAACTTATTTATAACTATCTTTTCAAGTGACTTAATTTCATTATAAAATGGTACTAGATGCCAACAAATAGCTACTTGGGTTAAAGGGCGAAGAAACTTAGGGAGTACATATAATATAAAAAACATGGCTAAATATATCCTGATATATGATATATGACTGAATCTAGAAATTAAGACATGATTATTAGTTGTATATTATATTATTTACAGGTACAGGAATCTTATTGAGAGAGCTCTAGGAGCCAGACTTGTATATGGGAGCCCTCATATGAATCGTGCTGTTAGCTTCGAATACATGAATCGCCAGTTAGTTTGGAATGAATTCTCGGTAATTTTCGTTGTTATGAATATTGATTAGCTGGATTTTGTAGGAGTTGGCTGGAATTGGAATTCAATTTCATTCCATTTCTGGTATTTGGTTGCAAATGACTACAGAACTGAATTCCGTTGGAATTTACAAAATCCCATGAGTGATGGAATTCAACCTTCCTTTCCATAAACTCATGGATTTCAATTCCAATCTCCAGTTCTCCACTCTTTTGTATAAATGACTTGAATACCCCTTCTAAGCCCTACTATTAACGCTGTAGAATGTTGGTTTTTTCCTCTTATCATCAAAATTTGTAAAGTGGTTGTGTGTGCATAAATTTATGTTTACTACTATATGTAATTCTATTTTGCTTCATCGGTGTAATTTTACCAATCTTCCCTCTTTTGTATAAATGAAGTAGTTACATACCCATTGTTATGCATTTGCAGGAAATGTTGTTGCTGCTACTTCCTATTCTCAATTCATCTTCAATGAAAAGTCTTTTTCGTCCATTTTCAAAGGACAAGTCTTCAGGTTCTGAGGGGGATGATACATTATGCCCCATCTGTAAGGCCAGTCCAACAATCGCATATGTAGCTCTTCCTTGCCACCATAGGTACGTAATTACACACATAATATTTTCCAAAACTTTGATTTTGATGCTTGCCACATTTAATCAAAGGTAAGTTACAGAAATGGTCCCTGTATTTGTATGATTGTTGCACTGGCAGTCCAACTTTTTTTTCCCTAACCTTGTGGTCCCTATGTTTGTCATTTGTTAAGGAGAAGGAAGGTCACTGGTCCATGTGAAATGACTATAATAAACTTTCCGATTTCTAACCTTATGGACCCTATGTTTGTCATTTGTTACGGGGTGGGGACCACATTTAATATTATTTTAATAAAAAACAGTAAAAGGAAATGTTTAAAGAAAATAAATAAGGGTATTTTAGTCATTCGACTCATTTTCCATGGTTTAGTAAACACATGGACCTTTTTTCGTAACAAATGGCAAACTTAGGGATCAAATGACAAACATACAACCACAGGGACCATTTCTGTTTAATCAACTTAAAAACTCATGGCGCATGAATAACATTATGTTCTACCACATGCTTATGATGGTTGGTCTTTTTGTTGACTTGTGATCAAGACATCTGAAACTCTCTTGGTTTGATCATAGAGGGTTAAATGCAAGAATTAGCAATGTACTTTCGTTGATTTGTTTATTATAGTATCTTACTTTCATTTCTTCATATTACAACATTGAAAAATCTACCTAATTAAAGCAATTAGCAATTGTAATTGCTATAATTCCTCAGATTAGACAAAGTATAATATATTAATAAGAATTAAAGCTTGAAAGTACAAATGTGCAATGTTATGATTGGGTAGACGTTTCAAGGTCCAACCAATGTCTTAGTACGTAAAAAAGAAAATTGTTAGTAGAATGTTGTGATAATAAGAAATGAAAGTAGGATGCTATAATACAACTTAAAGGTAGATAGTAATTATGATGGTTACTGTTGTTGGGTTTGGGTTGGCAGGTATTGTTACTACTGTCTTAGTACACGGTGTGCTGCAACTACAACATTCCGGTGCTCTAAATGTAGTGAACCAGTTGTTGCTATGCAACATGGTTCCATTGTCAACTAATAACAACAAGTATATGCTACTCCTACAACTAGAACCACATAATAAAAAAAAGAGATCAAGGACAATTGTAGATTTGTGTAAAAAGAAGAAAGAAATAGTGCCATTTTATCAAGGAATTGATGTTTACCTTGGAAAAGCAAATATATGTTAGCTACTTTTGGTGGGCACATGCTTTTTTTATTACCCCTTTTGAAATGAAAAGGCATCCCAGCGAAAGCCCAAAACGTAAAAATTCTTGAATAAAGATGGGCTTATGTAAATTTTTTTGAATA